TGGTGGCAAGAGGAAGGCCTTAGTGCCTGGCCCACAGGCCACCTGGAGTGTGGCCAAGAGGTAAGTGCAGGAACGAGGGGCTTGCCATGAGGGAGGAACCCCCATATTTTTCAGCTTCTTGGAAAAAATCATCACTCGGTAGGTGTAGCCAAATGGACTCAGCGTTGCCTGACCACTCGGATGGTCCCTACAGAAGCCGCTTAGGGAGCTATCAGGAATAGTCTATGCGGACACAAAAATGCCCGAATGCAAACAGAATACACAGAGAGGATGGCTGCAGTGAAATTCTGAGATCTGGAGCAAAACAATAAAGAAAAATCAGGTTTTCCAACTTGTAGAAAGTCCACCAACTTGGTGAGGAGAAGAGATAGAGGAGAAATAGAAGCAGCTTTAAGGTGAGAAGTGTTCAACTCTGAATATTTAAGAGCAAACGCGCTCTGGTCAGGACCACCTCATGTCATCGCTCCTAGAGATGCGTCAGCAATGGTGCGTGTTTCTCTTTCTCTTCCGAAACCTGGGCCCTTTCTGACCAGCTTCCCCATCCTCCCTCTGCACTTCACACATGCTATAACACTGCTAAATCTGGTTGGATGACAGCTGGACTAGAAGACAACAGAGTTCTACAAGTACAACACTCTATTCCTGGGGATCCACGCTTTCCATTTTGCACCTCATCAGCACACAATCTAGTACAACTGTGTAATGCATGTGCATATTTACACACCAACGATGTAATGATTACTATCAACCCACATAGGGAACAACAGTAAATATGCTGTGTTTTAAAAAAAATCAACAATACATCAACAGAACTTGACACTTCCGTCTTACTCACACCAACGATCTTCCCCTTCGGATAGCTAGAATAGCCACAGTTACCCAAAGGGTGAGGGAATGGAAGATTCTGTGGGGATGACTGGGTTAGACCGGACCCAGCCTTCCGTCAAGTGGCTAGGAAAGGACCCCCCTCTGGAGGAGACACCCAAGCTCTCTGTGGGCAGGCTTTGGGAGTCACTGTGTTGTGCCAATTCTCCAGCCCGGACACCGCAACACAACAAAGGTCTCGAACTGCTTAAGTGCCCTCTTCAGGTCCATATTTTCTGCATTTAAGGCAGCGTCATCCATGAGAAAGCTTGCCATCAACCTATGAGGTGAAGGCTGTACCAACCACGGATGATCCCCACCTTATTCCACTGTCTCTTTAGGAGTATTAAAATGCTGATTTTCTCCTTCTTCATTCCTTTGGCATTTTTTAGCTGTGATTTCCTCATGATTAGCAAATTTCTTTCATCAACTTTTTGATTACCTTCAAATACAACTTGCCCTAGAAAGGCAGGATTAAAGCTGGATTCTTTCCCTTTATTTTTCAGAGTAATGACGTGGTGTCCCAGCAACTTGAGAAGGGGGATCAATGGACTTTGTGGGCTTCTCTTGTTTGGAGATCATCCTGGACTCGTGGAGTATCCGTCACTGGTTTGACTGCAATCCACTGTAGCTGTTCTTTCTGATTCTCAAACTACCCGATCTTTGGCTCCTATGTCCTTCTCACTCCATCCCAATGGTCTTCCTTAGCTTCCTTGCTGGCATGTCTAGAGGTCCCCTTGTGAATGTTTCCTGCCCTAGACCTGGAATCAGCTATTTATCTGAGCAGGAGGTTCCTTCTCATGGTAAAGGTATTTATTTGAAAGATTTTATTTATTTGTTAGAGAGAGAGAGAGAGAGAGAGAGAGAGAATGCACAAGCAGGGGGAGTGGCAGGCAGAGGGGGAAGCAGGCTCTCTGCTGAGCAAGGAGCCTGATGCGGCACTCCATCCCAGGACTCTGGGATCATGACCTGAGCTGAAAGCAGAGGCTTAACGGACTAAGCCACCCAGGCGCCCCAGTGGGAGAGGTATTTAAAAGGTTCCCAGTCTGAGTGCCAAGGATACTCCTTGCTACTGGATTGTCTTTACTTTTGATCCTTTTCCAAGTACAGAGCTAGGAAACACTTCCTTTTTAAAGAGAAAAGTAAATTGATATTGGTATTTCCTATTCTAGCTGGAGATAATACAGTCTTTAAACTCTTTAAATACTACCCACCTTCTTGTATACTGAAAGTCTGGGCTCCTGCAGTATACCTCTAGCAGTTTCAAATAACAATGTAAATATTTCCCACTATGAATGTATGGTCCAAAGACTGAGTTTTAAAGTCACTTGAAGTAATTATTTTCTCTGTGTGGGACCTTCACACTAATCTGATATAGAACACTCGGTGTGTTTCTTTTTTTCAGTCGTTTTCGGTTGTTTGTGAATGCTTTTTTTCTTTTTATAAATTATGCAAAACATTGACATGGTTCCTAAGTCAAAATAAGGTACGTTAAAGAGACATCTTTCTGTCCCTGGTCCTGCACCCCCTTCCGCCAGGGGAAGTGATTTTCATAGGCTTGCTATTTATCCTTAGCTTATTTCTTTTGAAAAGGCAGGCAAGTTCACACCCACTAACATACGCACACCCTGCCTTCTCACCCAGAAGGGAGGAGGTCGACAAGCTGCCCTGCGTGCTGGCTTTATTACTTCTCTGTATCCCTTAGAGCGGTGGGGAACCGTCCTCACTACTCCTTCCAGTTTCATGGTGCTCCCCTCTCTCAGGGGACCATGTCATTTACTCAGTCCCCTAGTATGAACATCTGGGTCATTGCCACTCTTTGCCTATTTCGAACAGTGTCACAACAAATGACCTGTGCACACACCATTTTTTTTCTGCTCACTTATCTTTGGGAGAGACTCTTAGATATGACCTGCTCAAAGGGAAGATGTGCTGATAGTTTTGTTAGATGGTGACAAATATGCTCCCCCACTTAGTAACATGTTGCATTCTCACTAGTAGGGCAGGAAAAGATGGATGGACCCTCACCATTGGAATAGCTATGCTACCAACTTCTGGATCCTGGTGAGCCTGATGTTTGGGACATGGTGTCTTGGTGCAGTTAAAGTACGTATTTCTCTTTATGGTGAGTGAGGGTAATATGTTTTCAAATGCTTGGGGCAATAAGCTTCTTCTTCCTTGCAATGAATAATGGCCTTTGCTCATTTTCCTGTTGGATTATGGAACTTTTCCTTCAGTTTTTAGAAGCTCTTAATATACTAAAGGATACTAACCCACCAAGATAGAATTTGCTTGTTTTTGCCATACAGGTTTTTTGTTTTTGTTTTTGTTTTTTTTAAAGGCAGTCAAATGTATCAGTTTTCTCCCCTGATTCCTGCTGAATTCCGAGTCAGAAAATCCGTCCCCTTCCCAGGTTAATAGGAATTAGTCTGTGTTTTCATCTTTAGTTACATTTTAAGCAATGAATTTCTTTCAATTCAGTCAACAAACACTGCTGAAATCCTCCATTCGTGGAGAACAAAATAGGTTTTTAGGACTCTGATTTTCAACATTCTAGAAGAGAACTTTATAGTTTCTAGAAATACTTCCTATTTCTACTCTCTGGATACAAGGCAACACCATCTTGTAGAGGATACAGCCTATCATTCGGGTTATTCTGGCCATTTTAGAAATGCCTAACATGTTTCATCTGATATAATGCACAGGTTACTTCTTACAATATTCTATACCACCTCATCCCAGCCCCTCAAAAGTTATACAATAAAGTCAAACCAAAGGCTAACTCCAATCATATCTTACCATGCTGACCAGCCACCTATCACCCAACGTGCCACATATTATTCTGTCCCCTAAGCTGTGCCCCCAGGACGGGTTGCAATAGCAGGATGATATAGCTCCAGGAACAATAATAATGTCTGCCATGCATATAACATGCTCTTGCAAATCCTTCTGAGCTGAAAAGAACACTGAACACTTGACCATGAGCTGATTTTTAAATCACCACTGTCCAATTGCCATAACCCTTCTTAATTCTACTGTCTCATATGTCACATGCAAGGATTAAGTCCAATGTGTTCTTTGTTATGTTTAATGAACCTGAGAAAAGGGTGACTACATACAATGGGGAGAGGAGAGCACACAGGGAGAAGTAGGCCACAGAATCCCCTGGGTCTCAACAAAGGAAACAGATTCACATCTCAGATACTAATTCTAGGATGAAAATCTCTGGATTACAATTATTCTGACAACTTTGGAAAATGGGAGTTCTCCACTCTGAGCATCCAAATGAGGTCATGTTTAACTCGTGTGACATTTCCAGAATAGGACTTCACCTCAATCGAGGAATACAGACTTCAACTCTAAGTTTATTTTGGGCATGATCATTATCAAATTTGGGAGTTTCCGTCACAGTCCTCAGCTAATTATCAGTGAAATGAGGCTCGAGGAGGTAAATTGCTAGCAGCAATAAGAAATGGTGAATATGGGAAAGGGAACAGGACAGAAACAGAAAAAAACCGACCGCCGGAAAAGTCAGTTCATCATTTTGGAGGTGTCCACTACAACACCTCCTGAAATTATTACTGCTGTTGGCATCAGTGACACCTGGTGAGCAAGAGCAAGTGAGATTTCATTCTGGTGTCAGAGGGTGAGAAGTGATTAAGTATGGAACAGATCCTTTTAAAAAAAAAAAAAGCTGACTTTTTTTCTTTACAAGGGTTGATGTATTAATAATTAAGACTCATTTTTTTCGAAAATCTATCTACATGAAAGACCTCATTCCTCATCAGTCATCAAGTGGACCCTACACAGCATCTGTGCGGAATGAAACGTGTTTAGTGCTTGCCAATCCAGAATCCACCCAGAGTCCTTTCCCAAATGGTTTTTAGTGATACTTCAGATTGAACGTTTTTTTCTCTAGAACATTTCTAAGGCTTTTCACAAAATGCTCATATGGCCTTAATTCCAATTAAACAACAACAAAAAATCAGTGATTCCCAAGGGAAAGGTTCCACAGCACATGTTTCTACAGCTAAAAGCCCTGAGAATCATAACCCAAAATACACAGCCATCTAGTTTCTTTTCCCGTTTATCTCCGGTGGCATTCTGGAAAGCAGAGGGGAAACGTGAATACTCACGGAACATGGTATAAAACTGCTGTGGGTTCAGATTCCATTTTCCCCAGGGCGTCTTGTGGCCTTTAGACTGGGCATAGTTAGCATGGTTAAACTCTGGCTCGGTACCAAATGAATCCAGGACTCGGAGCATGCACCTGAAAAGAAAAAGTAATGTGGATAAAACTACAACTCTGACCCCAAAGTTCAAAAGGTAAAAGTTCATGGCGCCTGGTTGGCTCAGTTGGTTAAGCATCTGCCTTCGGCTCAGGTCATGATCCCAGGGTCCTGTGATGGAGTCCAGCGTCGGGCTCCCTGTTAAGCGGGGAGTCTGCTTCTCCCTCTGCCTCTGCTGACCCCCACCCTGCCCCACTTGGACTCTGTCTCTCTCTCCCTCAAATATATAGATAAAAATCTTTAAAAAAAAAAAAAAAGGTAAAAGTTCTAACCTGTCCTGCAGGGACTACCAAGAACGTACAAATACTTTTCATCAGAAACACTAGTGGGTGGGAAGTGAGAGACTACAACCTTTATACCATACATCTCCATGTGTGACTTCTGAGCCTGAGCCATCACACACAGGTATGTTTTCCGTCAGATTAGCTGACAAGTCATAGAAGATCACTCAGATAACAACAAGATACAAAGTCCCACGAGAGCTAGCACTGTAGACTGCCTTGTTCACTGCTGCCCCCTCGCTAGGGCCAAGCCTACGGTGGAGCCTAACGAAGAGCTGCTGAAGAAACAAAAGAACTACCGTTTTTAGAAGCGGCCATGGTCTGAATATTTGTGTTCCCCTCCCAAATTCCTAGGCTGAAACTCTAAACCCCCAAGGTGATGGTACTAGTGAATAGGGCTCTGGGGGTGATTAGCTCATGAATGGGTTTAGTATTCTTATAAAAGGGACCCCACAGGGGTTCCTAGGTGGCAGGTCAGTTAAGTGTCTGACTCTTGATTTCACCTCAGGCCATGATCTCAGGGTTCTGGGATGGAGCCCTGAGTCAGACTCTACGCTCAGCAGGGAGTCTGCCTGGGATTCTCTCTCTCTCCCTTTGCCCCTCCAGCTCCTGATCTCTTTCTCTCTGAAATAAATTAATTTAAAAGAGAGAGAGAGACCCCCCCAGAATTCCCTTGCCCCTTCCCTCAGGTGAGGACAAAGTGAGAAGTCTGAGACCTGGAGGAAGGAGAGCCTCGCTTGACCATGCCGGCTCTCTGCCCTTGCACTTCAGCCTCCAGAACCGTGAGCAATAAAGGTTGTCTCTAAGCCACCCAGACTGTGGCATTTTGTACAGCAGCCCGAACTGACGAAGATGGAGGTCTTACTCTCTGTAAAGCATACGGCACACCTTAGCTCTTTCAACAGTCATTTACCATTTCATCAATTAATAAGTGTATTTAATTTTAGGTAGAGTTTAGAACCTCCTTTAAGAGGCAGTGTTGATTTTTCTGTCAACTTGACAGGACTGGGACATTACTGCTTTCTTCCAGAGCCAGGAGTAAAACCAAAGACGTTTCATTTGGCTCTTCCAACAAAATCTTCAAACTGGGTCAGCCAAATATCTGGTCTACTATCTATTTTTGTATGGCTTGTGAACGAAGAATGATCTTTATGTTAAAAGGTTTTTTCTTTTTTTTTTAAAGAGATAGTTTGTGACATGAAAATTAGATGAAATTCCATTTTCAGTGTTCAGAAATGAAGTTTTATTTCAACCTAGCCACGCCTAATTGTTTACTTAGGGTGTATGGCTGCTTTCACTCAGTAACAGAGAACTTCAATAGTTGCCGGAAAGACCATAAGCCAGCAAAGCCTAAAATATTTACTACATGGCCCTTTATAGAAAGAGCCTGTCAATCACTGCTTTAGAGTACACACACACAAAAAAAACAACCAATGCAAGAATCAATGCTGAAATCTCCTACATTAATTAACTCATTCTTTCAATTCATCACCGATTCTCAAACCATTGATGTACATTTAGCTTGTGCCTGGCCAATAAAAATAGCTCTGTTTTCTGTGGTTATACCTCATCGATACTTCTGAATGGCTCTTCCTGGACCAATGAGCATAAAAGCAAATAAATATTAAAGCCCACATTTTAGGGGCACCTGGGTGGCTCAGATGGTTAAGCATCTGCCTTCGACTCAAGTCATGGTCCCACGGTCCTGGGATCGAGCCCCACGTGGGGCTCCTGGCTCAGCGGGGAGTCTGCTTCTCCCTCTGCCTCTGCCTCTCCCCCTGCTCAGGCTCTCTATCTCTGTATCGCAAATCAGTAAATAAAATCTTAAAAAAATTTTAAAGCCTGCATTTTATAATCAGATAATGGCAAGTGAGTTGTAAGTATCGGATCCAGTTTCTTTCTTCCTTTCCCCACTACGATGAAGGCGTTCTCTCAACTTTTTTTTCACATCAATGTGTGATTCAGAATAAAATGCAAACACCAGATTGGATTTTCCAGAAAAATCAAGAGCAAATCGCCACTTCCGTGTGATGCTTTTCTCATCTGAGATCACCACCCTCTGCGTAGACAAGAACGGGAGGAGAAGACAGAGGGCGAGAGCGAACACAAGCCAACCACAGAAGGCGCTTCCTTAGCTTGGATTCCTGCGTGGCTCTCAAGGAACATGCTCCCGTCACAGTGACAGTTTTCACAATTAGCACCAAGAATGCATCATCAGCTTGACAGCCGTCAACCACAAGGTGGACAGAAACGGGAGCCCACAGTCCAGGAATAAAGAAAGCTGGGGAGCCAAGGAACTGACCTGTGTGTGTTTTCTCTGGTCTCTGAGTAGTTTGGGGCATTCCTTTGTTCTTACTTATAAAACATTGCCATTCCTTAACTTATGTATATATTTTTAGGATCAAAGTTTGCATTAAAAACTTACATCAAAACCTCCCATATTGTAACTAACTCTAACTTGTATTTTAAAATAAGCCACTGGTTGGAATCAGTATATTTTCTTTTGAGAAAGATGGCAGCATTCAGAGAATGTAGGGACAACAGTGGCTGTTCTGCAGAGGGTTGCTGCAGAGCAGGAGGGGAGGGAGGGACACACGCAGACAGGTGGGGGTGCTCTGCTCCTGCCCAGGGGATGGGGCTGAGCCTCAAAGAGTACAGGCTCTGTGCAAGCACAGCAGGGAGGAACAGGCCATCCTTGACCTAAGAAACCTTTGTCTCGAAGGCTTTGGCTACTTCTACTCAGTTGCAATCCACTCTAACAGGGTATATGCCTCTCTAGCTTTGGCGTGTGATTTTATTTTTAACTTTGGAGTTTTGCTGGTTTTCTTCTAAGTTTAGAGAATTCAGACAAACCCTGATGATTCAAGACGCCTGGTGGGAGCCTAATGCCTGCAAGCTGGGACTCTGATACCGTGCTACATGATGCTGGGCTTCTCAAGCCAGCGGAAAGCTATAGCATGAAAGATGGAACGTCTGAGAAACTTGGAATTCTACTTCCTCCTACGTAAGCTTTAGTTTGGGAATCATTTTTTTTTTTTTTTTTTAGCTGACCTGGGTTTGTTTTATAAACCAGAGGCAGGGGACGGATCTCTGTGTATGGCAGAGGGGGTTTAACATTACAGTTTTCCTCCTTCAATCACATTCTACAGCTGTGTTTTTGGAACTGGGTCTGTGTTGTTAATATTTATGCAGTTCCTCTAATGTCTTTTGTGTGTCTGAAGCATCAGGAACAGATCGATGACTTAAAAAGATATTTGCCTTGCTGCCCAAGGCAGCTGGCCTCCTCCTAACGGGAATCGCTGTGGTCATGCCAAATGACTTCTGGAACATTCTCTTTGCTCTGAGCCACACTACTATAAGATGGACAAGTTCCTTGCCAGGACCCACTTTCTAATTTGGAGTTGGATGTAAAACATGGTGTATCTTGCGCTATTTGCACCTCACTTTCCTGTGTGTCCTCAATACTCAGCAAAGACCTCACAGGAAGAAAAATGGGTATGGGTTTTGCAGTCCCGAGCGGTGTACTAGTTGCATGAAGGCACTGAACACATGTTTAACTGAATTTCTTGGGTCCCTACATAAATTGGAAAGAATTTACAGATATGTTTCCAAGATCAACAGGACTCAAGGTTTTGCTCCTAAATGGAAGATCAGACGATACTTTTACATTTAACGGAATTCCTGCCATGTACCATCAACCAAGATGAATTCAGAGAGTCCTGACCGTGTCAAATCTTCAGAAGGGAAAGAAGTGGGCAAGAAACTTTCCAGAGGACCTGCTTGGTCTCTGGATGAAATCTTAGCTTCATCACACCACAAAGACTGCAGGGCTGAAGTCCTAACTGATGTCCTGCCAGCTAGTATTACTAACATGGACGATGATTTATTAAAGGGAGGATAGATACTATACCCTTCCATAAAATTCCTTGGAGACGGTGCCTTTTCATCCAATAAGAATCAAATACCAATCGGTGGTGACCATTTTAATAATGAAATCATCCTTTTTAATTGACCAAAACACTACCACTGAGGACATTTTTCCATCCCAACAGCCCTTCTTAATGGTGAGGATATGTGAGTCTAGGGATGCCCGCGATGCCTCTGTCCTTTTGTACCAGATGCCTGCCATTTGCTAAATGCCAGAGAATGATAGCTCTGCCTTTCTTTCCTTCTTTAATGCTGTAGCTAAAAAGGAAAAAAAAAAAAAAAAGACGATTGTTTACTTACACGGCTTATTAACCAAAAATAAAGATGGCTATTTCCACATAACTGAGAACAAATGTGACGGCTTGTGATGTATGAAGATTTCAAGGAAAAACAAACCAAAAAAAACCAGGAATAATGTGATACAGAAGGTAGAGCGCTATCCTGGCTCAAACCAAGATTTTTGTTTTGCTTTTTGATGAAACTATATCCAAAAGGAAACGAAAAGCGCACAGACTCCTCAATCAATCCCTTCCTTCTGTCCCTGAGCATGGCACCGCTGAGGGAGAAAAAAATATTGCTACTGGCAAGAAAACTGCAAGAAAATTCTACAGACAATGATGTTTTCCCTACTATGTTTTGGAGAATCTTAAAATCTTGACCTTTTATTTCTTTTGAATATCTACTAAAGCACTTGCAATCTGACATAGGCTTGGAGATTAAAGTTAATAAATAATATGAAATTATAAACTAATCTGAAATGGACCTAGTTCAAGTTGTTAAGGATTCAATTAATTGGGTCAAGTTACAGGAACACATCAAAACATCTCTTTACCCAATAGCAACAGAAAAGAAACACATGAAGAGATTTTAAGTCATGCTACTTGAAAGATTTTCCAAGTGTTCTTTTAGGAAGTTGGTTCAAACTGTAGGTCAACATTCACTATCAGCTAGTCAGGTTGGTACTAACTTCAGGATTTTTACCAAATTTATGTACCACTGACACCATTAGATAAAATATGTTTATTTACATCTATTGGAAAACTTTAGATGCCATAAATGAAAGCCAGTACCAACTCTAGTAAGGGGAAGATAACCAAAAATAGCGTATTTCTCTTCTTTAAAAATTATTATTAAATTTAAACTGGATACTTTGCCTGAAGGCTGAAACTGACAGCTACTCTCAGCTTGTTAAAAATGCACATAAGTGTTGCACGGTGTGTTGGAGGTACAAGAGCATCTAACTAAGCCTTTTTAGAAAGATTGGAGGAAATCTGAAAGATTGATAAACTTCATTATATAATTCATTGTTATTTAATGCCATGCTTGTGTACCATGTAAAATCATCTCAAACACTAAATCATGGTCCCAAACCCACACAGAGGGAACAATGGGTTCTTCTCCAAAATGACAAAGGCGTTCACTTGGGTCATTCTCAGCACAGGTCGTCTTAAAAAGTGCAAGACCCCAGCATTCAGACAAGGCATTCACAGCTTTCTCTTCCAAAAATGACAACTCACGAGGGAAAGGGGAAGAGAAATGAGTCATCATCTCAAACCTGAGCAGTATAAGAAATGACATTTTCCACATTTTATCCAAATTGTTACTTCAGTAACAAATGATATTGGTGTAGGCATACAGAGAGGAATGAGGAGTATTAATGAAGGTAAAGAGGTGGCTGGACACTTATTGTCTATTCCTAAGAGAAACCAATGAAAATAATGAATAGCCTTTGAAAGTAAAAAGTCACTGGGGAGAATGTGAATTTCAATTAGGAATGAGAAACCTATTCCACATAGTGCAGAAGGTAATATTTGATAAGCGTTTTCTGCCTGTACCATGTCCCCCCTGTTTTAAAAAAAGAAAAAAAAAAAAGCTCTATTAACTTTAGGACAGCATGTAGCACTTACTGGTAGTGAACCCAGGATGGCCCAAGAGTTTTCTTGAATTGAGCAAGTCCTACGATATCAATATAAATGAGCTCAACAATCCTGTCTCCTACAGTTGGGCAGCCAGATCGGTTTCCTACAACCTTCTTCATTATCCTAGAAAAAGGACAGGAGAGAGGAAAAAAACAACAACTTATTTCAAGATATGACGCTTAGCAACATTAATAGGCAAACAAACATCCCAAGAATGTTGTCGGGGAGGATGGCATGGTCTGTCCCAATCTGCTGCCTATCCAAATTCTGCCCACCAATCAGGGCCTATCTAGAGCCCTGATTCAGATTCTGGCAAAAGTAAATGGTGGCACGCATGCGCACACACACACACACACAAACACACTTCGAAACCAAGGAAGAGCTGGGTCTGAATCTGTCTCTACTATCTGGCTCCACTAGCAGCCATGAGATCTTAGACGTCACTAACCTTTCTGGTCTTTCCTCCTCATGAGAAACAAACAAACAAACAAACAAACAAACAAAACCCGACCTACCCACAAAACAGGATGTGTGACAGAAAAGATAATAAGAAAGCAACGTGTCAGGGATTCTTCAGGTGTTTAAATGAGGTATTAAAAAGAAAAGTGCCTCATGTATCCCAGATACACAGTGGCTATTGCTTTCCCCCACAGAACCTGTTCTCCTTACTCCAGCCCCCACTGACTTCCTAAAGGTCTTCAATTTCTAGCCACTACAATATAAACTTCTATACTGTCTTGTGCTGTTTCCTAATTTTTTCTGTCAATTTTTTCCTTCTGACTAGACTCTATTACATAACCGGCACTGTGGTTTATAATTTTTTGTTACTCTTCCTTCTATCTACCCATCTCCTCACCCATCCATACAAACCCACCCTTGCACCCAGAGAGAGCTGACATACTTGGTCATACGCCAACTTCAAATGCGGGAGTAAAAACTGCTCACCGAACCACACTGCCGCTCACACCCAGAAATCGGTCCTCACTGATGCCTTTTATCCCTGCCCACCCCCCATAACCATCCCTCACCAAATTCTGGCCACCCTACTTCGAAGGACGCGTCCTAGAAGCAGGACTCTGCTCTGTGGCGCGGTACTGCCGCTCCTTTAGGTACCTTCCTCCTCCTCCTCTCATCTGGCCCTCTGAAATTACCAGGCTCTGTATAACCAGTTTCTTCCCAAGATTTTGACAGTATTTCTACATAGGGCCAGACAGTAAATACTTTTGCCTTTGCAGGCCACACGTCCCCCGTCTCAAGCACGCAACTCTGCCCTTGGAGAACAAAAGCAGTCCTAGGCAATCCATCCACAACGGGTGTGCTGTGTTCCCGTGGGAGTTTCGTGACAAACACACCAGAAGACTGCACCTGGCCCATGGTGCCACCGTGTGCGGACTCCTGGTCAACCCTGTCTTCAGCGGTTCCCAAACTTGTCTGCCCACTGGAGTTATCTGGAGGCATCGAGATACTCATGCCTGGGTCCTATCCCCAAAGGCTGTGATTTAATTAGTCTGGCATATGGTGTGGGCACTGGGAGGCCCCAAGGATCCCCAGGTGACTCTGATGTGCAGGCATCTTCAGGAACCACTGCTCTGTGTGGCTTCCATAATTATCTTCTTAAATAAAACACATCTGGTTCTGTGACCAATGCTTAAAGCACTCCATAGACTTCTTGACCAACAAATTAAGTCTCTGCCTGGTAGTCCTTTCGTACGCCTTTCTGACCTCCCTGGGGAGAACCTGTCCTTAGAGTTTCGCACAGCTTTCCCTTTATTCACCCACTCACCCATTCCTTGATTCATCCCTTCACTGGTTTCCTCGGTAACTAGTCACAAGCACCCACTGGGTGCTAGGCACTATTCTAGGTGCCACATAACCCATGGTGAGCAATAGTCACTGTTTCTGTACTCTCTTGGCTTACGTTATAGCATCCATGCCTCAATTAGTACTAATCACATTGCAATTAGTGTAATTATTATGCAATGTATTAGTTGTAATTACCAAAGGACTGGCATTTCCTTGAACACATGCTGGTCATCTCTGTATACCCCATACCAAGAACCAGTGCCCCAAAAGCAGTGAATGACTACTGAATGTATGGATGCCTCAACTTCACAGGCCATGTACACAATGTGTTTTAAAGCAAGCAGGAGGCAGCATGCTGAAGGGACATGGGTAGTGTTTAGGGGTTCAGAAGACCTTGGGTTTATCTAGATCCAAAAGGAGCAATTTAGCACAGTGGTCAAGAACACAGGCTTTGAGGTCAGACAGGCTTAGCTCTAATCCTGGCTCTCAAGTGTTTCCCATGTGTTCTTAAACAACTCAGTTTCCTCGTCGTTAAAATGCAGAAAGCAACAGCACTTACTTCCATGTTTGTGTAAATAGTACGTAAAATGCTCAGTATCCGATGCACAGTAGGTGCTCAACAAATGTTAGCTGCTAATAGTCGTCATCAATACTGTGGTTATCCTAAATGCTGATGCTCCTGTTGTAACTAATGCCCTGATCACAGTTTTAGCATATAGAAATCATTTTAAAAATCACAGTTGATATTACCGCTTTCATGTCAACAGTGCCACTCCTCAGGTGTGTGGACCTTGGCCCCTAACACAAGTGACCTCTCTAGGCATCAATGTCATGGACAATAAAGTAGAAGTGGGGGGGCATATTTTGTTTTAAACACCCTTCCATCTCTAGAATGTTCACTCGAGGTATTTCATACTGCAACATGATAACTTGGCTGCTGGGAAGAAAGTCTCCATGGGCAGTTATCCAAAAGGAGTGAAGGGGTGCAAAGCATTCCTGCCTAGCCAGCTGTGTCAACCTATAAGAGATTAAGAGAGGGCTAGAGCCAGAAGAATGTTTCAGGGAACTAGAAAAGCCAGGTAGAGTTAACAGACTCAGACCGGAAAGTTGGCTTTACTGAAAAGAGGATTGGATCAGGGCTTTCAAGAAACTCATTCTATCCAAATTAAATTATAAACAGGAACCTGCCCTGTTTTAAGATTTGGAAGGCTTGAAGTTGAGTAGGGAATGGTATGCATTTCAGCAAGAGACAGGGAATTAGGAAAGTCAATAATGTTTTGTGCTGCACATGTTGGAAGCACCTGTAATAGCAAAGAATAAGCTCCTTAGTTTGAATTTTCTGGCATTCATTTATGAAGCCTCTGGAGCCTGCATCTACAATGAAAACATATTACCCTTTTCACAGTCTATGTATTTAGCTACTGAAAATAATCTTCTTATCTCCTGTTTAGTGAATTATCACTTGCATTTTCCTCCACAAGAAATTACACACTAATAGAAGGCTTTCAGAGTTTACAATTTCTTTTTTGTATTCTGATTTTAAAATTGAAAAGTAATCTCCTTACTCCTTGAGCTCAGCCAGTGAAGCTGAAATCCTAATGTCATGGCCCAGTAAGTACAGAGATGTAATTAAATCACTCCACTGAACTAATTCACCAAGAGGGCCACCACTGAAAGCTGTCTCTGCTATCTTAAATCCAGATTCCTTAGTCAGGAGTCCCAGGTGAACGAGGACCTGAAAAAAACAAAAACAAAAACAAAGGAGAGGCATATATTGATTCCCACTGAACCAAGTACAAACTCCATAGTAACACACCAAAAGCAATCAACCAATTCTAAAGTGATGTTTATGTTCTAATGAAACCTCAACATGGCGTAAGATTTTTCTAAAAGGTGCAAAGAAATGGAAGGAAATAAAGTCACTACTGCCCCTTTTATGGCTATGAACATGATATATGGATAATCTGTTTTTAAAAAGCAGGATAACATTTGGGAAATCAGAATTAAAGGAGAATAAGCCAGGGCAATAAAATTATCATTTAACAATATTGTTTTTTCCCCACAGCTGGAATATTTTTAAGGTTTTAACGTAAAAAATTCCAAACATAGCCAAAATCAGACACGATAATGCAGTCAATTCCAATGTACTCATCATATAAATTTCACAATTATTAACTCAGGATCTTAATGTACACCCCTCATTTTCTCCCAACCCCTCTAGCTTTTGTTGAAGCAAATCTTAGAGATCATATCCTTTCAACTGCAAATCCTTCAGTTTGTATCTCTCAAAGAAACAAACCTTCAGTTAAAAAGCATAACCACAACATCACTATCACCCCTAAAATAGCTATTAATTCCTTAATATCATTCAATATCCAGTTAGTGTTTACACTTCCTCAACTGTTCCTTTTTTCAAGCACAGTTGTTCAAGTCAGAAGTCAAATAAAGTGCATAAACTATAATTGTCTCATTTATTTCTCAGGCTTCTTTAACTCCATCCTTTGGGGGTGGGGAGAGTTTTAATTTATCCGTCAAACAGACTAGGTTGTATTTCCAGTAGAGTCTCTCACACTTTGGGTTTTGCTGATTATACAACAGATTCTTCCACCCCTTGTATTTATAGTAAATTAGTAATTAGATCTGCAGGCATGATTCAATTCATATTTGATGTTTTTGGCAACACTACTTCATCGGTGGTACTGTGTGCTTCCACTAGTGGGAACGTCTGGGCTCTCTGGTGATGTTAGCAGCTACTGATGATCACTAACTAGATGCACTCATCCATTAGGGGTTGCAAAATGATGATACTTTATTATTCCTTCTGCCTTTATTAGCTGGAATGCTTCGATAAAGAGAACTACCACCACCCCCCCATCAACTATTTGGCTCTGCTGAAGTACGGTTTACATAGAAAAAGCCCAGGAAATATTTGACTCTTGCCCTTTATTAGTTTTCAAAATAACAGATTTGTTAGCATACTCTAATGACCATCAACGAGGCTTTTTAAAGGTATCATTATAAAATCATGGATAGAAGTATATTAGATGCGTTTCAATAAGCTGTAGTTATTATCCTTACGGATTATTAAATTGTCCCATCTTGCCAATGGGAGGCCATTCAAGTTGGCTTCTAAGTTCTTCTGACACAATTCTAGTAGTCTTTGAGAGTTTCTTTGCTCTCTAGTATGACAGATGTTCCCGGGTCATCATGTACAACTTCTGTCTCAGACCTTAACCAACGATTTTTCCAAGAACCTCTTATACCATTTAGTGGAAATGGCATCTAAAGATCAAGTTCTAGTGCGTAAGGGGACTCTAGTTAATCACTGTCTGTAGCCCTTTTCAGTGGACGAAGCTGGAAATTTACCTCTCCTCCAGGATAAAACCAATCATAAATTCACACTGGTACTTCCCATTCAAACTCAGGATTACAGTAGCTTTGCATAACATTATCCATCTTACATATGTTATTTCCTCTCTCCCACATGGAAAATCCCACTTCTCCAGGATACTAACATAAGTGCTTAGCTTTATTCCAATATGCAGAAAGGATTCAGAATGAGAGTATCGACACCACCACCTACTACGTGTAAACTTAGTAAAACTCAGTAAAACTTCTCTTAAGGTATTTTGCAGTTTTTTTGTCCTTTGTGATACACCATCAGAAATGCTGAACTGGCTGTGTTCTAGTCACTAAGAACAGTCCTTCTTTGTGTGTTTGCTGTAAAAGTGGGTACAGAGTCAGCTCAGGTCTTATCTTCTTTGTAATTTTTAGATACTTTTTTTCATAATTCAATTTTGTTTTATACTATGTCAAGTGATTCTAGTATCAAATCTACAGAGAAAGATATATTTAGTTAAGTCTAGTTTCTACTCCTGTTGCCTCCCTCTTTCCGCAAATTTGATTCTTTTTATTGTGGTACGATAGATGTTAACATAAAATTTAATATTTTAGCCATTTTTAAGTGTACAGTGGCATTAAGTGCATGCACAATGTTATGCAAACAGCTCCACTATCCATCTCCTTTAATTTCATGGTTTATCCATTTAAAAAAATCAAGCATATATGTATATTATATACACATCGTGTGTGTGTGTACATGCACATATCTTTATGTACACACATAGGTATATAGGTATATAAAATTATCTCGTCCTTTTAAAAATAATGTTCACTGTTCTCCTACTATTTATTGACCTATATATAGGTCAATATATCCTAGAGATTATTGCATAGGATTATGTAAAAATACTCTAGTTCTTACAGCACACCTGGATTTTTGACCTAATTCTCTTCTACAGAGGACTATCTGGGGCCTGAACGTTTGGACCTACTGTCTCATAAATTCAAGGGATTTAGCAGAATGGAACCACTAAACTGTCACTTGGGGTTCTGCAAGTTCATCATCCCTATTTCCTTTTCTTGAGGATATCAGATTAGTCAAATTAGGAGCACCAAAGTCATTTTTAATTAATTTTTAGATGCAGGGAGTAGAGATCGCTTCATTTGCTCTGTTGTTTGTCATCCGGACAGTTAATCTAAAGCCAAAGCCATTTAACCTATAACTACAGGCTATAAAATCTTTTATGTTCAGGGTTATGCCCGGAGGTTTTCTAAGCAAATCCTCAGGAACTGCAGACAAATTGGCCCCGGTTTAATTGATCGTATCTCTCCCTCAAGAACAGAAGCAGAAGCACCAACTCAACATAGCAGCAATGGAACGCACCAGTTGCCCAAAGCCCAGAACTGACAAATACCACAACCAGGAGATTGCCAAGATGATGTAACAACAAATTCTCCAAGGTTGTATCTGGGTAAAGCCAAGAGGGTTAAGTTTCCTGATGCCACGGGGACAGTCAGGATAGTTCAAAGGAAAATCTCATAGGCAGATACTGGGCTTGGCTTCACCCAAGAAACATGTGTGCTGGTCCCTGCTAAGCAGGATTACTGTAATTGGGGAAAGGAAAGCCCAAAAAAGGCTGTACTAGAGACTGAGCAGATTCACCCTGAGGGAATATCATTTGAGACATGACATTTCTCTTAGTCTTGTTTCCAAGCAAAATCGAATTTTAAAAGAAAACTGGCATCTAACTGAACTGAATTCATCAGAGACTCACTTTCTTCCGCTTTCTCTTTTCAAGATTCTGCTTTTCTGCCAGGGACTTGATTGCCTGGATCCACGCATCAGCCATTCGCCGGATCCGGAGTCTCATCCACCGGAATTCTTCATGCTTTTTCATCATGCTGTAGAGAATATTAAAATCTGTACGAATCTCCGCCTAGAAACAGAAATTTAATAAAAATGAACAGAAGATAAAAAGTCAGAAGCCATAATGGCTGTCATGATGTGACATTTGAAAACTTGAAAGAGCTAGTCAATTAAATGCAGGGCTTCAAAAGTGAGGCTTGTCTGCTGTACAGCTTTACTTCAAGGCCCCAGGATTACAAATTAAAGGCCCCTGACTGCTGATCTGTTGTATGGGACATCATTAAAAAATGAGAAATTGAGAAAGGCCCAGCACAGTCATTGCAAAGCCCCGAGTTACATTTAAATGCATTTTTTTTTTTTTTTTACAATGAGTATGCTCAATGTACCTTGAAATTTTCTGCACCCGGAATTTATTGCCACTTGGATCTACTGCAAGGCAGCAGACTCCTGGAAAAAGTAAAGTCAATTCTTAACAGGCTGCTTGGCAATGTGTAGGTTGCCAGAAAGCTTTCGTCTGCCCACAAAGTTAAGCAGGGAAATAAATGCTCATCTTCTAGTTTTGTCCCAATCTCAAACAAACAAAAGTTCATTATTTTATAAGGAATTTAAAAGCCAGGAATACCATTTTCCTACCATAGCTGAATAAAATTTAAGACTCAGGCCAGAGTAATTTAAAAGCCAGGAAGAACATTTTTCTAATGTAGGTGGGTACAACCAGTGATTGGAAAAACAGAAAAATAGTTGCACTCCTATTTATTTCTCGTAACATCTAGAACATGCTAACTTCATCCCTCAGCAGTCACGCACTTTGTTCTCAACACTCATCTGATCCCTTCTTGACCCAACCTTCTCCCAAGATTCCCATGGCCTACAGCATGGGTCAGCACATTGTGGCTGGGGGGCCAGATCACGCTACCAGTTTTGGTATAGAAAGTTCCGTGGGAACATGGCCACACCTGCTCATTTACATCCTGTCTATGGCTGCCCTTTGCACTCAAGATCAGAACTGAGCAGTTCCAACAGAGACCTTACAGCCTGGAAAGATGAAAATATTCACTATCTGGCCTTTTATAGAAAAAGTCTGCTGACCCTTGGTCTGAAGAACAAAGACATAAGCTTTTAGTGTGGCACAGAAAACCTTTCACAGTCCCTACTGATCTTTCCCATCTCATCTTCCACCAAAGCTCATCCAACACCCTATGGCCTTGTCCACTGAACTGTGCTCTACTCCCTGAAAACGCCAAACTCTGGTACAAGCACCTTTCCCGCCCCGCACATCAGACACACCTTCCTCTCCTTCATCTACTGTGAACTCACTCATCATTTGAAATTCAGCTCCAATGTCATCATCTCTTTGCAACCTCTCCTAACCCCTGCAGGCTGAGATGACTGCTTTCTCACTCACTTCCATCGGCCTGTAGTTCAGCTTTTACTTGGGTGTGGTCATGATTTTCACCTGTCACCCTTATGAGATCACTGAGTGCCCCGCATCTGGCACCAGGTCTCATTCCTCTCAGGAGCCTATCACTCAGGACCCCCCAGAGAATCGCTCGAGAAACAGACACTACCGGTTAACTGATTCGATCACCCACATTTCCACAGGCCTGCAGAAAGAAGTTCTTCAGTTTACCATGATTTCAGGTTACAGCGGGCATGTCTAGCTGACTCCGCAGGTATCCCTCGGCATGAGAACCAAATCACAAGCCTAGTTTCCAAAAATCACTCACCCATGAATTATGATCGGCTTCTTCATAGGGATTTTTTGCTCTCCAAGGTAAATGAGGACACCAATTTTCAACCTGAAAAATACGTGAGAGACACTAAGTCTGCTGGTTCATTTGTATACCACGTAATGTTCATACTAAGCGCCAAGCACACCGTTCCTGGCACACAATGAGCACTACATTTAAGCGGGTTGTTACTACTATTAGACTTTCATGCTTTCAGCGAGCAGCACAGGCGCAGGGGACCTCTCACATGGAACAACAATAGCAAAGGAATCAAGGAGCCCACAATTACACTTTCTATCTGTCCTTCAAAGTACTTCACAGTGACTGACTCCTTCATCCGGTAAGCCTCATGCATCTACACCAGACGGAGGGGGGGGGGGGGGGGGGTGTCTCACAGCAGCAAGGTAAAAGACGGAGATTGCAGGGGAATGAGAAGGGAAGGACAGGCATGATCCGTTATCTGTTGAGGCAAGTCGGAAAGGAAACCGCGTGACATTGGAGCCACAGAGCTCCATCATTTATCTCAGAATTAGGAAAGCAGCTGATCGTTTAAGGCTAATTGATCAAGGCTTTCCCTCATTTTCTGGCTGTTCACTTCACACTATCTCATCTCAAGGAAGAAGATGGTAAAAACTATTGGAGAAAAAGATAAAAGGAAGAAGAAAAAATAAAAACCCTCACAGCAATCCTGCAAGAGCCACTCTAGAAGATGGATTGTTTTGTCAATGCAAAGAAGTTTAGAGAGTTGAAGGGAAGAGGAAAAACGCCCAGTTTTACAGGAATTACTTCAAAGAGGTTACCAAAGAAAATTAGGCAAAAAAAAAAAATCGTAATTTTTAGTAAAAGAAAGACGAAAACTGCAGTGACGAATATTGCTGGCCTCTTTTTTAAAACTGGCCATATGATGCCAGGGTGGCATATCTCCTGTGTACATGTACGTGATGAGATTATTAAAGATGGCTAATAAACAGTCATCCAAAATATCTTTTTCTGCCATCTTTCACTGGCTAGGTGGACCTACAGAAATACACGGAGCAAGTTGGGGGGGCATCCTTGGAGGGCTGCAGTCTTCTCTGCCAGGAACACAGATTCCAACGAGACGGTGGGCCCTCCAGCTCTGGGTGCATTTTCAAACACACACAGCAGTTTCCCTCATCTAGAAATTGCTCTTAATGCCAGGTGATTTTGACTCTGACCAAAATAACTGCGTGATTTGCATAAAGCCATCTGCTACTGCAAATGATGGGAAAGAAATAAGCGGAGGGCAGCAAAGCTTGGGGGAGGGTGGAATCCATGGATAGGAAAAGAGCAATATTCTCTCTCTCTCTTTTTTTCTTGTGGAGCAAAATTAGACTTTACCGTATTTGTGAATGACTTCAGAGACTCAAAAGGACTCCCCAGGAGGAAAGCTGAAATGGTTTCTACTCATAAAAAAAAGAAAATACTGACTTGCCTTGGATGCCCGTGTCTAATTGTGGAGACCTTGCAGCAATATCACCGTAAGAAGCAATATCTGGGGCTCCACACATGTGAGAAATGAGGGAAAACCAGCAGAAAAGCAGCCTATAAGCAGATGAAGCCTCAGCTGGTCCCAGCAGCAGGGCAAACATCTGTACCTTGGAATCTTAGGCCAGCGTGAATTATTTACTTCAAATTAAATTCTTGCAAATGGACTAAATAAAACATTGCTATGAGGCATATTTATAACATGAAGGCTTCCCATGGACTGCAGCTTAGCATTTTCCACTGTGAGACCTTCAGCCCCACGAGGAGGAGCGAGCAGGGTACAGATCTGAAGCCAGCCTCACACTAAATTAAGTAACGACATGTTCACAGCCACACGTCGGGATAAAGAATTTCCCCACAAACAGCCTAATAGGGAAAGATGAAACAAGACTGTGCATAAAGTCAACCAAATGGAGAGACATGAGCGAGACGAGATATTGACAAAGAAAAGTACATTCCCTCCTTGCTCTTCCACCCTCAAAAGAACCTCTCAAAATTCACTCAGATGAAAATACTGTCCGAGGGGCTCTTCTAAAATAGGACTTCCCTACAGAACACTCAGGACTTTAATTCCTCTTTGAAAGTGATCGTTTATCTCAGTTGTTACTCTAAATCACTGGATAATACTTTGCAAGGTTTCAAGGGCATCGCTAAAGTACAGAAGACGGAGTCAGCGCATTTTAGCTTTTTAGCAAGAAATCTTCCTGCTAGGGAGGCTCAGTCGTTGGGCGTCTGCTTCGGCTCGGGTCATGATCCCAGGGTCCTGGGGTCGAGCCCCACATCGGGCTCCCTGCTCAGTGGGGAGCCTGCTTCTCCCTCTCCCACTCCCTCTTGCTTGTGTTCCCTCTCTCGCTGTCTCTGTGTCAAATGAATAAATAAATAAATAAATAAAAAGGAAATCTTTCTGCTATATATTCACTCGTAATGGAGGAAAAACCAATTATGAACATCTCTGACACCAAATGAGGATGGTGGGTTTTTAAGGTTGCTGTTTTTGTACACAGTCAGGATGACTGGCTAACAAAATAATTAAATTACACATAAACCAATTTCTCCATGGGAAGTGGGGTGGGGGGGGGCCCAGCCACTTTTTTTCTGAAACCTCAGAGGATTACCAAGATTGGAAGAAAGCCAGTACTGGCAGTAACTCCAAGTACTGAAACAGCCCTCAAATGAGCAACATTTTCCTAAATAAGATCGTCATTAATAACACTCAGGGAAAGTCTTGCTCAAGGCTAATAACTCAACCTCCTAATCCCTAATTTTGTTTTCTGCCTGATTTACCCAGGGCCATTGAATGAGTCCAACCCCCCAGCACAGCATCCTCCCAAGAAAGCTGGACCCTAGAATGAGCCCACTGCTTTCCTGCTCTGGAAGCTCTTCTAGTTCAAATTATTCTTGCCAACTCTTCTCTGCTTCTTAGAACCCTCATGGCCTCTATCAGCCTGGTGCCTTCCTATGCTCACGCCTTTGGCCACACTTTTCCCACTGTGACCCCTGGTGCTCTCCCTGGGACAGGATTTTGTATTTGCTCCAGGTGCAGGCACATGGATGTAGCTGGACCCTCCCACTGTCCACTCCCACCCCTGCCCGGCTCCTGGGAGCTGGGGAGCCCTGCCTCAAGACCTTTGCCAGGAAAGGAACTGGATAGCCTTCAAATAGTCCACAAATCACCATAGTACCTCTTAAGCACTGAAAACCACCTGAGTTCATGGCAACACGCACATAACAATCAACAGAGGAGCCAAACCATGACTCAAATAACCTTCGATTTGAAGGCAAAACTCCTTTCCCAGAACCCATCTTTTTAGCGCACGATCCTCAGGCCACAAACTGAAGAGGCAGGAAAAACAGAAAAAGACCAGCCAGGCTAGAACTTTGGAACATTAACACATATTCCACAGAGAGAGTCCTATAAATCACCTTTCTGGAATAAGGAGATATAAAATTAACCAATTTGATTTTTGACAAGCCTCCTCCCAGTGATTTAAACTTCTTTGATCTGAGAAGGTTTAGAAGCTTATTCATGAGCAATGTGAGTCAAAACAAAGTCCCTAAACAACTCATGTGGGTCACACTTACTTGCAAGGTCTGTAGAATGGACAATTTGTTATATTTAAGAAAAAAGAAACCACTAGTAAACACATATATAGCTCAAGTTAGAATTTAAAGAGGGCAAAGAAGCAATAAAATTACAGCAAAAACTAGTAGGAGATTTAACATATATATGCACGAATTTATGTACAACTGGTATAACTTTATAGTAACATTCGACTCTTTGGAAAGAATAATGAACAGGCACCGTTATGGCCTCTTCTCTCGTGATTAACGTGAAGTGTTTGGCTCTAATGGGTCACTGACATAGAGAATTTCATGCCGTATTTTTCAGATAGTAAGTGCAATCAAAACTAAATGAGAAAAATGTGTAAGAAAGGTGAGCTTATCTCTGGATGAGGGTGTTACGGGTGTTTTTCATTTTCTTCTTTATGCTAATCTGCACATTATGAGTTTTTACAATGAATGTTTATTAAGAGAATAATTTCTAAAGGAGTTACCTTATATAAGCATATAGTCACTTACTGAAGGTTTACAGTAAGTCAGGATCTCTGGGAAAAAAGTAAGCTTGCATGCATTACATCATTTAATCCCTGAAGAGCCATGTGACATGGGTACCATCACCAGGTTACATGTGGGGAAGTCAAGGCTCCAAGGAGATGGGAACTTTCCAAGGCAAGCTCACCAGTGAGCTCCAGGACTGGGTGACAAAAGGGGTCTATCGCTCCCCTGACCAGAACACGTTAGAGCCTCCCTTAAAGACCAAGCTTAGTAGAGGACAGACGACTGTTGAGTGGGGAAAGAGCACTGAATTTGGAATCGGCCAAAAGGGACTCTGTGCCCAGCTCTACCAATGACTAGACATATAAACTTAAAGCATTTAGTTTTCAAGTTTTCTCACTTACCAAATGAAGGCGATGGCTCAGCTGACTTTATTTTTTTTTTTTTTAAGATTTTATTTATTTATTTGAGAGAGAGAGTGAGAGAGAGTACCAGCAGGGGGAGCAGCAGAGGGAGAGGGAGAGGGAGAGGGAGAAGCAGACTCCCCAGGGAGCAGGGAGCCAGATGTGGGGCTCATTCCCAGGACCCTGAGATCATGACCTGAGCCGAAGGCAGATGCTTAACCAACTCAGCCACCCAGGTACCCTTCAGCTGACCTCTTAATAACCCTATTACATTATAAGATTCTACATCATCCTATCCCGGCTAGTTGGTTATATATCAAAAAGATGTAGCTGACTATGTATCTATTCATTTAATACACTGACTAGTCATATGAATATAGATACACACATACCTACATACATGTATTCATCATACTGATGACATATCAAATGAAGTTACTCATGAAGGTATACACTTAAAAAAGAAAAGAGCTTTCTCTACTCCACTCCATACCCCACCCACTTCCCTTTCTAAGGCTCAAAAAGCCAACGCAAATGGTAAAAGATATCTACACGTCACTACGTGGTTCAGCTCTCTAGACTGGTCCTCTGCACCAAACACCT